TATAACCTTGTATGAATCCCCAAACTATACCTATTATAGTTTGTGTGTTTGTATATGTATAACCTTGTATGAATCCCCAAACTATACCTATTATAGTTTGTGTGAAATGTTATGTACTTGGTTTGTAAACTGTTCTGAAAACTATGAAATTGTGTTTCCAAAATAAAAGTGTTCCTTTTGCTCAGCATAGTACAAAAGGGATAAAATATCTAAATATTTTATAAAACGTGGAAATCGTTGACTGTATTAATTTCATAAGTTTAAAACTTGATAAAATCATTTGTGTTTGGCTTGTATCCCCCCTGAAAACATTAAAAATCGTAAAAGCGTAGGGGTATGAACTCACTGTTGTTGTGTGAAAACGTCGACTAGAAACGAAGATCCTCGGGTTGTTGTACGTGACACTTAACGGAATCCTAATATCAATAAATACATATATGCATCTAGATTAGCGATTTCGTTAGGTAAAGTGTTAGAAAAACACTTGTTTTCGGTTAAGAAATGTTACCGGGACTTGATTGAATCGAGAAAACGAGTTTTTCACTGCTTAAGAGACGTGTACGGCCGCGAACGGGGGTGTACGGCCGAACAGCCAGTGTACGACCGTAATCGGGGTGTATGGCCGTGAACTCTTCTTTGAGGGGTGTACGGCCCTTTGCAGATTTGAAGGTGTACAGCCGTACACTCAAGAACAATGGTGTTTGATTTCGAAGAAAATGTGTTCCAGATGCTCCCAAACGATTACAAATGACGATTTTTGATGTTTTTCGGAAGAAATGAGGTGTTTTTAGTGTGTACGGTCAGAAGTTCTAGAGAGAGAATGAGAGAGTTTCCGGTCCAAAGTGTTCAAATGAGGGTGGGGGTCCTGTATTTATAGGCCGGGGGTATGGTCGGTGGTGGGGTCCACCTGACACCAGCCGTGAACAGGTGTACGGCCGTACACGGGGGTGCGGCCGTACATGGGTGTGCGGCCGTACACAGGTGTGCGGTCATACACTCACTTAGGCCAAAAACTGATTTGTTTTTCAAGGACTTCGGGTTTTCGCGTGATTTGGTTCCGAATCACTTATATAAATTTAATTATATAAAACTAGATGATTTCCTAAACCACTAAATTTTGATGGAACTTAATAAACTTCAAATTTTATTAACGGAATTAGGATAACGGAAACGAAAAAAGGTTCGGGTTGTCACACAATAAATTCTAGACGACCTTCTAACTTTGAACGAAGTGGTAGAATGGTACGAGAAAAAGAAAAAAACAATTGATGGTTTTCAAGGTTGATTTTGAAAAAAAGCATCAATCGGTTAGTTGGAAGTACCTTTTAATTTTTTTTTAATATAAGCTTAAGTGGATTAGTTGGGCGGAGGCGTGTTTGTTGTCTTCTCTAACCTCCATCTTGGTTAATGGCAGTCATACGAAGGAGTTCCAGTTTTACAATGGCCTAAGATAAGTAGATCGCATGTCTCCTTTTTGTTATTGTTATAATAGAACCATTACATGTCGTATGGAAGACACAACAAAACATGTTTTTTTTTTTCTTCAGGCGCTTAGGGTTGGGAAGACGATCACACATTTTGTATGCCGATGATGCATTGGTTTTGGGTGAGTGGACATGTTTAGAATCTTACGATGTTTTTATTTAGCCTCCGGCCTAAAAATTAATTTGAATAATTTGACTTGCTTGGGGTAGGAATGGCCTCAAGTTTAGTAGACGAAATGGCGAGAAACACCCGATGTTTTGTGACTTCTTTCATGTTCAAGTGTTTGAGTTTCCCCGTTGGAACCAATATGGCTAGTATTGATGGTTGGAATGAGATATTTCAAAATTTCACGTAAAATTGTCCAAATAAAAGGTTAAAATGCTTTCCTTTTGAGGTGGCTTCACTATTATGAAATCGGTGTTGGGAAGTCTTGATATTATTTTTTTACTAGTTTAACTTTAAAATGTCGGAAACGATTTATCATTTATTGGAAGCTAGTCGGGTTAGATTGTTTTGCAGACCAGATCTTCATGAAAGAAAGATAAGCGGGATAAAACGGGATCAAATTGTATCTCATAGACAAAGTGGGGGACTTAAAGTGGGTAGCTTGGTGGCTTTTAGTGTTGGGCTTATTTTAAATTTGCCATGATGTTTTTGAATGATTCTAACTATTTATGGGTTAAAGTTATTAAGGAGATACATAGCTAAGTGAGGGTTTGTTGGGTACGGAAGAAAAAACAAAATAACAAGAGTTTAGTGCAAGATTTCCTCGTACGTTAATATTTTGAACAATAAAAGTATTATTAAACATTCACACTTCCAAGTTACAGTTTGTAATGGTTGGGTTGACCTAGTTTTAGATTGATAATTGGATTAGTGGGATGCCTTTAAAAAAGTATTGAAGCCTATTTTTTGGAAGACGAATCAAAATTGTTGTACTGCGAATTAGGCTGTAAACGAACTGAACGTTCAACTAACTGTTCGTGAAATGTTCGACGAAAAGTTCGTTTATGTTCATTGATTTAATAAATGAACGAACATGAACACAAATTCTCGTTCGTTTAGTTAAACAAACGAACATGAGTAATAGTCTTGTTCGTTTAATTATGTTCGTGAACGTTCGTTTATATTGTTTGTTTACGTTCTTTTATGTTTGTTCATATAAGTTCATTTATTTGCATATATGCTTAATTGTGTTTGGCTATATTATTATATTATATGTTTATCTATATTCATATATGTTCAATTATTTTATTATTTATTTTTTATCTTTGTTCATTTATGTTCATATTCGTTTAGCATGTTTACGGACCTAAACGGACGAACATAAACAATGTAATTTATTAAACTAACGAACATGAACAAGAAAACACTTTCTTTTATCCGTTCATGTTCGTTAACTTGTTTGACTAACTTAAACGAACAAACATGAACAAACCACATTTCATGTTCGTTCAGTTCGTTTACAACCTACTGAGAATCATTAGGAGGGTCTCAGTTGGAATTGGAGGTTGGAGGTGGCAGAGGCAAGTGAGTGGTAGGGTCGAGATGTCACGATTCGAAGATATGCTTGAGTTGTTAGTTGTGTTTTCTACATCTCATTTTCGTGATAAATGGATTTAGTTATTACACTTTGAGAGAGTTTTATGTTAGTTCTGCTTAGGCCCGACCCTAGAATTTTGGAGGCTCTGTGCAAAAATTAAATTAAGGTTTTATACCTTTTTTATAAAGTAGTATTAATATATTCAATTGAACTAATAACTTTACTCTTGTTGCATCTTTCAAAACTAAAATCGTGTCACCTGCCATATACTTTGTTTGACCTTATAATCAAATACTTTCAAAATTTGAGTTAGTCTTTGGTTTCGTAGTGCAAATATTTATATATCTGTGTTAGATTCTAACTGATATGATAACATATTTAACAAACATAAATTTTAATTTTAATAATACAAATGAGATTTGTAACATACAATTATACTTTAATTAACATATTATTATTATTTTATTCTAATTTTTTTAGTAATATGATATTAAAAAAAGTTCTCAAATCAGAGGTCCCTTATGATTGGACATTGTGCGACCGTACACTTGCACCACTACTAGTGCCGCCACTGGTTCCACTTGAGTACATATAGATGAAATGTTGCTTCCTACTAATGATTCACAAAAAAGATGGAATAATACCTTTCTTTAAAGGTAAATATCTTTATTTGGTGTGCTCTCATGAATAAAATTCCTACCAGGTTTATTTTGAACAAAAAGAATTAATCTTAAATCGATCACATGTATTTCTTGTCATAATCATGTGGAAGATACACTAACATGTTGTTTTTGGGATGTGATGTAGTTGTGAAAGTTTGGCTAATTAAAAAATGGGTGGATTTGGAGAGTTTCCAAACTTTAGTAACCTTTGTGGATGTTTTTGAGTGGGTTTATGGGTGTAATGTCTTGGGTTATAAAACAATAGGCTTTGGAAGCGGTTTGCATGACAACTATTTAACTGGACGTATTAAAATTCGATCATATTTGGGGATAAAGACTTTCGTAAAAATAAGATTTTTAAAAAATTCGTTCTCTTGTCTTTTAATTGGTTTTTATCTTAGATTTCGAAAACTAAAAGTCAAATGGGTTAATATCCCATGCATGTTGGCATTTAATTTGTAAGTTGGTTTCGATTTTGCTAGCTTATTGCTAGTATTTATTGCTAGTAAAAAAAACAAGTTATTTGCTTACAAAACAAGCTATTTGGCGGAGACAAAACAAATAGTAACAATCTCCCTCTCTTCAACAGAAGTTGAATACTGAATATAGGTAATAGGTCCATGAGACACATCAATATTTGCTTACAATCTGATTAAGAGCTTTGCTATTATCAACAATCACATCAAGAGTTCTTACAATAAATTGGAGATCTTATGAAAAATTTTGTCAGATTTGTAGCTACCGAGTCTTAACCTTTTGCGGAAGGTATATTTCTTAGACTTATGCTTTTTATTAATCAATTAACGGACAACTTGTTCATATTCTCTAAATTTCATGAATCATGATTTAAGCTTTGTTTTTTTTTTTACTAAAGTAAATTCACATTAAATTAAAGTTATAAATATTCGTATTAAATTTCTTAATTGTATAACCGCTGTTTTTTTTTATTTACCACTTATCCAAGTGTTTTTTCGAATCATGTAAAATATAAATTCTGAATAACTGTATATATTTATTAAATAATATAAACTGTTTCTAGAAACACTATTATACATTTCCCAATATTCTAAAAGTTTTGGTAAAACTTAAAAAAATCACGATGTGGATAATAACACGAAATCGACGTGAAGCGTACGAACACCCGTACAAGTAGAACGAAAAAGTGCTTTTTACCCTGGTAGTTGCAGTAACAGCTTCTCTCTGACTCTATCTTCCACACCTCCTCTCTCAAAAACATCGATTTCACAAAGGTTTTGGGACCCTAATTGAAGAAACACTTCATTTGTGTTTTCTTGGCTATAATACCAAAAATGAAGCACTCGAAACCAGAATCATTGCCACCACCTCCGCCTGTGATTCCATCCAATTTTGCTCCGGCAAAAGTCGATCAGTCAAACCGCCGTCCAATGGCTAGGAGTGAACTTGGCACTAAAGGCCAAAGGATCTCTCTGTTGACCAACCATTTCAATGTGAAATTAAGCAGGAATAATGACCATTTCTATCAATACAATGTATCTCTTCAACTCTTTTGGCTTCTAATTTGCAAATATTCTGTTATTAAACATTTGAAGTATTGAAAGGCGTCTGGGTTTATGTTAAACTTAAAGTTCAAAGAAATGAAGGTTTCAATCGCTAAAATCAGAACTGAATTCTTTGACTTGGACTTGTAAAAGTTTCTCACTTTGGATTGTATGTTGTTTCATAAGGTCCAATTTTTGAATCGTGAGTGTCAATAAAGTTTATTGAATCTCAAAATTGTTTAGGATTGTGTTGAAAGTTTAGCAATTATGTATAAGTTGATCAATTTAAGAAACAATAAACCATGGAAATCCTTATGAAAAAATTGAATTTAATGAAAACTAGGTTAATTTGAAGCTTTAAAGTCAAAAGTTGATTCTTTGATGTGCATCATCGAGGATGGATTTGTCCTCTTCTAAAACGCCAAATTTTGAATTTTGAGTGTCAAATATGATATAACTGAATCTCAATATCAAACTTGAAATTTGAAAAACACTAGATCTGAAACTATTTTAAGCCTTTCAGGTTGCGTTTTTCAATGAAGATGGAAATCCTGTAGAGTCAAAAGGAATAGGTAGAAGATTACTAGATATGGTCCATAAAACTTATGAGTCTGAAATGGGTGGTAAAGAGGTCGCGTTTGATGGTGAAAAGACACTTTTTACAGTTGGTGCTTTACCAGGGACTAAACTCGAGTTCATAGTTGTGTTGGAGAACGCCTCTTCAAATAGGTATACAATTATGTTAAATGTTTTTGTCTATTTTTGATATTTTTAAGGATCTAGTTGCTAACATGTGTTGTTTGTATAGAACTATACGAGGTGAAACCAAGAGATCAAGGCGTCTGCCTCAATCCAAACCATATAAGGTAACACTAAGTTATGCCACGAAGATCCCGATTCAAGCCATTGTTAATGCACTTGAAGGTCAAGATTCTGAGCAATTCAATGAAGCTATGAGGGTTTTCGATGTTCTTTTGAGACAACATGCTGCAAAACAGTAAGCCATGCACATGCAAACATAATTTTTAATTATTTGTATTATTCATATTAGATAACCTTAATCATGTTTTGTTTGGGATTATACACAGAGGTTGTCTTCTTGTTAGACAATGCTATTTTAAGAACGACCCAAGAAACTTCATAGACATTGGAGGTGGTGTTATGGGTTGCAAGGGTTTTCATTCCAGTTTTCATGCCACACAATCTGGTTTTAGTTTGAACATTGGTAAAAAAGACTAAAGATTTCAACATTTTTTTTTGGCTAATTTTAAAATTTATAATGATGTGACGGATTAATTGATTATCAATCGACATTGACTTGATTCTTTTATAGATGTATCGACTACAATGATAGTCAAACCAGGGAAAGTTGTGGACTTTCTTCTCGAAAACCAAAATGTTTGTAGCATCAGGGAGATCGATTGGCTTAAGGTAACGAATTTTTTTGTTTTAAATCTATTACTAGCTTTTACTAATTTATATTTTTTTTGGTGATAATTAAGGCAAAAAGAACGTTGAAGAACCTTCGTATCAAGACCTTCCCCTCTAATCTCCATTATAAGATTATTGGGTTGAGCGAAAAAACATGCAGAGAACAGACGTAGGTCCTATTTGTTCATATCGTTTCATGTTTTCATTTGTTTTTAATATATATATATATATATATATATATATATATATATATATATATATATATATATATTATATATATATTTATATTTTTTGTAGGTTTTCATTAAAAAAGAATAATCACGGAGATGAGGCCATTGATATAACAGTCTATCAATACTTTGTTGAGTATCACCATAAACATCTCGAATACTCTGCAGATTATCCATGTCTTGTAGTTGGAAAACTAAAGAGCCCAACGTATATCCCATTAGAGGTGAATAAATCTTTTTAAATTTTGTTAACATTAATCAACCAAACCCAAAACCTAAATCTTTTTGTGTTGGTTATAGTTGTGCGAATTGATATCTCTACAATGCTACACCAAACCCTTATCAAATTCACAAAGAGCTTCACTTGTTAAATCAAGACAGAAGCCTCAAGATCAAATGCGAGCCTTGATGGGTGTAAGCTTTTGTTTAACTTACTGACTTAATTATGAAAATCAAGAATTCTTAATGGTGATTAACGTTTTGAAGGAACTGAAGCAAAGTAACTATGATGCTGATCCTCTTATTAATGCCACTGGGATTACAATCAGCAATACTTTCACTAAAGTTGAGGGTCGTGTTCTCGATCCTCCAAAGGTAAACATGTTTTTCTTAAAAATTATATTAATTTTTTGTACATTACATTCATGCACGGGTGGTTTGTATTCGTTGTAGTTGAAACTTGGGAGTGGAAGATACTTGTTTCCTAGTGGTGGTAGATGGAGTTTCAACAACAAGGTCACATGTTCTTCATTTTTGTTCTTTTATTTTTAAACTTTTTAGCCTTTTCCTAATGTCACTTAATTTCTTGATCTAACCTTTTAATATATGCTTTCAGACATTTGTTGAGCCAACAAGGATCACACATTGGGCGATTGTCAACTTTTCTTCATGTTGTGACATGAATACCCTTCGTAGAGATCTTCCGAGGTGTTCCCAAGCAAAAGGACTTGTGAGTTCACTCACATATATAATACATCTATTGTGATGATATATATAACATGAAAAAAGATGAAAATTGATGCTTGTAGGATCTTGATCCACCATCTGCTGTAATCCATGAGAATTCTCAATTTAGGTGTAGTCCGGCTCATGTTCGTGTAGACAAGATGTTTGAAGCTATAAGACAAAGACTTTCCAGCCCCCCTACGTTTATTCTATGTATTCTCCCTGAACGAAAGAATTCAGACATCTATGGTTTTTACCCTTTTTCTTCATCTTTTAATGTTTACTGTGTTTGTTATTATTATACTGGAACTGGAAATGAGACTGATGTCAATTGTATTAATCACATGTCCATGGAAGCGAAAATGCCTTGTGGACCTTGGGATTGTCACACAATGCATTGCCCCGATTAAGATCGATGACCAGTATGTCACAAACATGCTTATGAAGATCAATGCTAAGGTCTTATTTACGAACAAAATTAACACGATTCTACTTTTTTTTTTAATATCCTAAAAAACTCGAGTCATATTTTATTATTATTTTTTTTTTTAATTCAGATGGGTGGAATAAACTCTTTGTTGTCAATTGAGTTTTCAAATGCTATACCATTGGTGTCACGGACTCCCACTATAATCTTTGGGATGGATGTCTCTCATGGGTCACCTGGACGTGCTGATGTTCCTTCAATTGCTGCTGTACGTAATAATTAATATTCTTTTTTTTTCTTAATCCTTATAAAATAAAAATGATTTGTTAAATATAAGTATATGTTTAGGTTGTAAGCTCGAGGAAATGGCCGCAAATTTCGCGATACAGGGCGTCTTTTCGTGCACAGGCTGCAAGAGTAGAGATGATCGATGGCTTGTTTGAGCCTGTTTCAAAGGATAAAGATGAAGGAATGATAAGGTTTACTCAATCATAAACATTTCCAGATCTTTCAATGGTTTTGGAATCTTGATTGTTATAAGGTTGTGATGTTTATATGATTTCAGGGAGCTGTTGGGTGACTTCTATTTAAGCACTCCAAAATTGAAACTGAAGAACATAATTATATTCAGAGATGGTGTAAGTGAATCACAGTTTAATCAAGTGCTCAACATCGAGCTTAATCAAAACATTGAAGCGTGTAAGTTCTTGGATGAACAATGGGATCCGAAGTTTCTGGTGATTGTAGCACAAAAGAGGCATCATACCAAGTTCTTCCAAGCCAATGTCCCACCAGGTTGCCGATTCAACCGATTCTTATAAATTATGATTTAGAAGAACAAAAAATCAAATCTTTTTTTGTGTTCTTGTGTTACAGGGACAATCGTTGATCATAAAGTCTGTCATCCGAAGAACAACAACTTCTATTTATGCGCTCAAAATGGAAAAATTGTGAGTATCGTGAACTTTAACGCATTTTGTAGAAATAATTTTCAGTAAAAAATGTTTTGAATCGATTATATTTTGGATTTTTAGGGGACTACACGACCTACACATTACCATGTGCTTCTAGATCAGATTGAGTTTTCTGCTGATGAGTTACAAGAGCTTGTTCATTCGCTATCCTATGTGTAAGTTGATGAAAACTTACTTTTTTTAAATATTAGGGCAAAACTAGTGATTGATTTGGGGATTTTTGGTGTTGCAGTTACCAAAGGAGCACAACTGCTATCTCTGCAGGTAAATATGCTAAAAAAAGACATTCGTTTCGATACTTGTGTTTACTGATTAGTCCTAAATATTAAGAATTTGATGATTTTTAATTGATTGAGTGTCCAGTTGCTCCGATCCGCTATGCCCACTTGGCAGCAGGACAAGTGGCACAGTTTGTGAAGTTTGATGACATGTCAGACACTGCGTCTAGTCAAAGTGGTGGTGATGCAGGTGGTTTCACCCAGTTGCCCAAGCTTCACCATAAGGTATCCAGTTCGATGTTCTTCTGCTGAACAACAATGGTGATGATCAGTTTTATGAGATTTTTATGAAAATATGAATTCTTACGTTAGTTTGAATATGTAGTCTGGCTCTTGATGGTAGCAGAGATATGGATGATTTTGATTTGTTAACGTTGCTAATCTTGCTCTATCATTTTTTAATTTATTATGAGAAGAACTTTTCCTTTTTAAAATCTATGAAAACAATCTATAATATTGTTTTCCATTCGTTTGATTGAAAATGATAATCTAAATTACGTAAGTAGCATTTGGTACGTAGTAATCGAAGTGAGAATGTAATAAAACATCAAGGTGGAATGAAAAAAATAATCTATATCTATATCTATATCTATATATCTTATAAAGCTAGCATTTTTCCTTGAACCTCATGCATTTGAAACTCCCAGGACCATTTTTCCTTGAACCTCATGTATTTGAAACTCCTAAGACTATTTAACTTACACAAATTAATTTATGATTAATTAAAATATTATGATTTGTAACTCTTAAAACTCTTCAAATCATGTTATTTAATTGATGAGTTAAATGAAATATTTAGCCTATATAAGAAATTTGTAGATTACATATTGCATGTATGTCAACACAAAATGATAGATTATATTTTGTAAGGTTTGAAGAATTATGTGAGTGGTTCCATGGATGTAAGAAAGCAATTGCAACATTTCCAAATACAAATTTTAAACTCAAATTGGGTGCATGTAAAGTTGTAGATATTAACCAATGTTCAAATTTAGGTATGTTTGTAAATGTATACTTGAGGTTATTTTTTAAGTTTATGTGTTATGCATCTTTCTATTATCACAGGATGATGAAGTGGGATTGATAATTACCTCACGTGAGTTTTTGGTAAATCAATCATCAAGCTATTTATCAGTTAGAGCAATTAACTTTATTAACATGTATGTATCTTTATGTTGTCTTTTTTTTTATGTTAAGAAAATATATTTTATGTACAAGAGAACATTATTCAACATGTATTTTATGCTATGTATATACTATGTTAGTTTCTATCGCTTATTTTGTTGTAAATAAAATCGATGGAGTTTTTTATAATTGATTTTGATGAAAAAAGTTTACAATTATTATTCCAATTATTTATGATAATAACGAATTAGAACGAATGATTTTTAATATGATATGATGTTGAAAATCAATAATTATGTGTGTTATAAAAATGAATTCTTTATGTTATATAAAACTTATATGGATGTACCCAATTTTAAATGTTTTCATAGTAATAAAAATAAATTATGTTATTACATTTGTCAATTTCCTTTTTTCATATTCGTTCTTTATCGTAAAGGAAAAGTAAAATATATAAAATATTAATATTTTCATAAGAAAATATAAGTGATAAAAATATACCTCAAGTGTAACACTCCTTCTCCCTAACCCACCTCTTAACATATTTTTTTTAAGATCGGTCGCAGTACATAACAATTGTTATAGTTTTGAAATTAAAATCACCATTTTATTTGGACCGTTCATTCTTTCCAATATTTCATAGTTTTAAGGAATAAAAATGAACGTACAATAAAAAAATATGATAGTTTTTTTTAAATATAATAATGAAAAATTTCAAATAAGTAGTTTTTAATTAGTAAAAAGTAAGAACTGTTTAAAATAATGTAAAACTAAATAATATATTATATTATATTAAAAATTGTTGTTATTTGAAATAATAATAATAATAATAATAATAATAATAATAATGTAGGAAATAAAAAATATTCAAATAAATTATTTATAAATTAGTTAAAAATACATATAGTTTAAAATAATTTTAAATCAAAAACTTAGTTCAATTTGATTTAAACACAACTTTTTATATCTTTCTTATCGTATAATTAAAATTATTATAATATTAGTTACAACTTAGTATAAAAATTATTATTTCAGTGATAAATACTTATAATATTGTTTTTATAACATATAATTGTCAATATTTATATTACATTATTGGGCACAAATCAAGAGTTTAAAACTCCTAATACAACCGAATAGTTTTTTTTTATTTAAATGTAATTATGATTTTAAATTTAATGTAATTTGCCTTTATATTTTCCATTATATTCAAAAGTTTTTTAAACTTATGGTTATTAATGTGCAATATTTTTTTTATTCTCCACTTATTTATTACACACATTGTAGCTATATTAGTAATATATAAGTAAGTTTTGATTAAAAAATCATATGTTTGAAAAGATTTGTGATTCAAAATGAAAGAGTTGAAAAAAAAATATCGCATCAATGGTTATTTCAACACAAATTTTTTATAACAATGTTTCTATATATCAAATGTATGTTGATTTCTAAATATTCATTTTGAATGATTTATAAGTGTTTAATAAGTTTTGTTTGTTGTGAATGTTATAATATTGTAGTGTTTTTATTTTATTAAAAGTTATAGTGTTTTCATATTATATGTTATTTGTTTTATATAAAAATCGGCATACGTTTTATATATAATTTCCACAACTTGAAACGTTCTATAAAATCATCTAAAGTTGTAGTATTTATTTTTTCACACTAATTTGTTTTTTATACATAGAAATCAACATATGTTTGATATATAATTTACACAAAAATAAAACGGTCTATAAAATCATGAATTAATAGTGGAAGTAACTAATGATATAAATTTATTAAAATTAATAAAAGTAATATGTTAACTATAGAGTTTATTTTGCTATTGACATTGGTTTTATATGTATAAATATTAAATCATAATTTGTTAAATGTTATTATTTTAATTAAATAATTATATTCACGCGCAATGCGCGGGGATTCGACTAGTATATCTTATAATTTCCTCAAACCACATTCATTTGAAACCCCCTTTTTTACCTTCCTCAAACCACATTCATTTGAAACCCCCATTTTTTAACTAATGCAACTCAAAAGTTTTCTTAATTATGATTTAACACTCAAAAGTTTTATAACTTATATTATGTTTAATAAGCATTTAGTGAAAAGTTTACTATAAAAATGCCAAACTTTTGGGAAGACATGCATACAAATCATATACAAATTTCAGAAAGAAAACAAACTTAAAGGTTTTTGTGTTGGGTTGAGGTCTTATGACCAATTTTGGAGATATGTTATTATATTAGAGCTTTTAATTTGTAAGTGTGTTATACTAATTCGTTTTTATATTTTCTTCGTTTTTGGATTATTATAATACAGTCGTTATATATTGTGGTTTAATCGTTAATATATTGATTATATGTTATATAGGGAGATGTGGAAAATATTTTAAATATGTTTTTTTTGTTTTGTAATTGTACCTTTTCAAAAAGATAATTAATTAAAACTCATACATATGTTATACTTTCCATCTCTCTCTCTCTCTCTCTCTATATATATATATATATATATATATATATATATATATATATATATATATATATATATATATATATATATATATATATTAATAGAGGTCAAAACACTTCAACTAAAATTCATTTAAAATCTAATATTTCAAATGTTTTTAATAATGATTGTAATAATTTCAACATGTGTTACTTAATTGATTGATTAATAAAAATATTAATGTTTTGAAACTCCTAACTCTTAAACTTATATGATTTAATTTGTTAGTTAACTAAAATATTTTTTCCTATATAAAGATAACATTTTTATGTTTGGTTACTCATATTTGTTTATTTAATTAGAAAACAAGGTGCACATAGAATGACTACTTCAATTTTACATATAAATCGATACCACTAGAGAGGTATGTTGTCTTTAACCTGTGGTAGGAGATCCACATACCCTTTTTAATTATTTATATTAATGGTTAGTAATATCTTTTTTATATTCCTATTCACCTTAATTTTTAGGTACAAATTAAGGAAGATGATTCTTGGCGCACCAACATAAAGTCAAAGGTACGCCTTGCAAAATATGTAATTAAAATTAAATATCATATTTACTAATCGACTTATTTTAAAACTCTTTATGACATTTATGTATAATGATATATTTTGTATGACTTCATTCTTAATTTCAATTTTTAATATTTGAAAGTTCATATATGAAACCTTGGATGTTTTGGTGTAATAAAAATAGTGTAATACAAATTTTATTAGTTCAATATTGTTTATTAATAGCTCATTCAAAACAACTTATTTCTTATTTTATCCAAAAAATATTATCGGATATAAGAAAAGTAGATTATTTTAATGTTATACAAAAACTTATAATATATATTGGATAGTATAAAAGTTAAAGCAAAGTTTGTAAGGTATGGACTATATTAGATAGTATCAAAATATAAGTTGATGGATGTTTATATTATTTGATAATTTGGTTAATGTTCAAAACATGACTAAAAACGTAAATTTCAACATATTTCTATTTTTTCCCACAATAATTTTAACCACTTAAATGCATTATTGCGCAACGCGTGACGTTACGCCTAGTCATACTATATTTATAAATGAATCATTTTTCCTTTCACCACATTCATTTGAAACTCACATGCATTTTTTCATTCACCACATTCATTTGAAACTCTCATGACCTTTCAATTTGTTTCTAATAATGATTATAAGTTGGTTAATAAGGTTAAATAAATATAAAACCTATAGTGTAATCATATATAAACTAAATTTCAATATTAAAAAATATATTTACTTCTACATATAAAGTTATGTTTTTTAACTTTTAACATATTCTACTTAATTTATTAATTTTAATATATTATTGGATGCAAACCATTATCATTTTAAAACTATAAATTTTGAACAATTTGTATAAAAATACTTAAATTATTAATTTAAATATCATACTACATTGTCAACTTAAATATAAATTTTAGTATAACTTAAACAACCCAAAAAATATTTTGTAAATAATTAAAAGTGACAAATTGTAATGTTTTTCTAATAATGATTATAATTTGGTTAATAAGGTTAAATAATTATCAAACCTAAAGTGTAACCATAAATAAACTAAATTTCAATATTAAAATAATATCGTTACTT